TCTTCCCTCTGTCCTTCTGACAAGTCTGCCACCCTTTTTATACAGAAGGACCCAAATCTCCCTCTGCCCTAAGAGATGAATCACTTTGGGACTTACATCCTGAGACAATAAGACAATGTGACAGCTTCAGTTGATTTATCAGGCCTGACTCAACCAGTGCAAGTATATTCTCCTTCAACTTTATCAGATTCATGGGGAAATAGTGATGTTTCCATTGGAAGCCTTTCCCAGATACATCCATTAAAAGGGGGGCTCCTCAAGGCAAAGCAAAAGTGTTTCCTGCTGGTTACCAGTGTCAGAGGCCCAAGTGGTCAGGAGTGCAGAAGAGCAGTGTAACCCACTGCCCATCTAATCTAAGGCATTCTTAAACACTTGGCTTGAAGGCAATCAAGATTCCAACAAACCAGTAATGATTGGCATCCTGAACCACCCAACCAACAGGTTACTGGTGTGCAACAGAAACATTTCCTATTGGTCACTAAAGTCAAGTAATTTATGTAACCAACCAATGGGGTATTGATGTCTATTGGAGCTGTTTCCTAATAGCCTGGCTGCACAATCAGAGACCCTGATTTACCTAACCTGGGGAGAGTTATCAAATATTATTACCTTGAACAATGTGAACACATCTGGCTGCTGAGCATCTGGGAACCAGCAGTAGTTATCTTCAGACACTTGGTAAGGGTAACCTGAGCGGTAAATATATGGGAACAACCCATAGATCTGGGGGAAGCAAGAAAGAGTAAAAAATACCAGTAGATGCAACTATGAGCCCACATGCCCCTCCCCTAACAAGTCTCAGGTTTGCCTGAAGCTTTGTTCCCTGCTACGGCATATAAAGCTAATGAGTAAAATAAATAAATAAAATGTCATGGATGGAAAGTTCAGCTTTGATCTATGTCTGTAGATTAGGGATGATGCTACTGTCCTCTCAAGAGCACTGTTGCGGTCACTGGATGCAGAGTGCTGCTTTGGTGCAGGGTATTCTCCTTACATGCTTTCTCTCACACACACAAACAGACAGGGCTGGAGTCATTTACCACGGAGTTACTCAGCTCTTTTTCTGGCCTCATCAGAAGCACACTTTGATCCACAGCCCGGACAGCACACACAGATCCAGGAGCTGCTTGCATCTGGAGGCTGACGTCTGAGCCAGGAAGGGCCTCCTCCTCTGAGAAGCCCAGCTTCACCTAGAAGGGCATGGGAGGAAAATACACAAAAGTGGGGGTGAGAAAAGCAGAACCAGGGAGAGAGTCCCTTCTGCTGACCCTCCTGCTGGGCCTAGTGGCAGGAAGGAGCTCTGCATGGTTCAAATGAATGGAGTCCTCTAAGGGTTCACCTTAGGTCAGGGGTGGGCAAAATGTGGCCCGTGGGCTGGATGTATGTGACCTGGCAGTTCATTCTATTTGGCCCACGGGGCCCCTAAAAATTTTAGAAAATTAATATTTAGCTGCCCCTGGCTGCCTGTCATGTGGCCCTCGATGGCTTGCCAAAACTCAGTAAGCAGCCCTCTGCCTAAATAATTGCCTGCCCCTGCCTTAGGCGGTGGTGGCCTCTTCAAGAGGGTATTGAAGGGAGTGCAATGGTGATGGCAGCAGGTGGATTCTGAAGGGATGGATCATAGGGCAGTTGGGAGCTGGGGGCAGATTACTGTGAAAACATAGTGATATTACAGAGCCCTACTCTGCAGGCTACAGCAGTTCATTCACATAGTAGCACAACCTGGGGACAGCATAGAACATCTGCCTGTGCTCTTCTCTCTGCTCCACCTCCTCCCTGACCCCCCAGTTACATTCAGGGTCTCAGTCTGCATCCTCAATCCCTCTGTGACACTGGGCTTGGTTTTCTGAGGCACCTCTTCCCCATGTCTGCTCACAGCTCCCCAGGACAACTGCACTCCTGAGGAGTAACGATGCTGTCTTCAGGGGGTCAGACTGCTCTGCACAGGACAAGGGGGCTCCTTCTCAGCTCATAGCCCCCTTCTGTGCAAGTGGTAATGCCCACTTCTGTGATCTTCTTTCAGCTACAGTCTCCTCAACCTCCTGCAACATAAATATCAAACCACTCCAAGTACCCAAGGAACAGGCAGAGAGATCCTGAGAGCTGCTTTGGTTCACTTCATCTGTGATGCTCTGAACCTGCAGGACAGGCATGATGCAGGAACCCACCTGGACAGACACTGCTATTACCTGCCTGTCCTGCATCTACACACACTCAAACCCACTTCACATGAGCACCCCCTTACATTCCCCCACAATGCAAAGCCAGTCACTCACATACCTTTCATATACCCCTATGGTGTCTCTTCTCTATCCATTCAAGCATTCATTCAGAACATTATGTTACTTACCACATCCCTTGCAAGCTTCCATTCAGCTCTACAAACACCCTCAGTTCATCACTGCCCCAACCACTGATACACAGAGTGGCCCACATTATCTACTGCTTGCATTTTTATCACTTGCGCGTGTCCCTTATTTGAACAAGAATCTCATCCCAGAAACTCAGAGATGTCCTCAGAATAAAGTCCCACCTTATTTTTGAAGCACATGGAAACACTGAAGGGGGCACTGTCTGCAATGATTCCTCCAGTGGGGAAGATGACATACACTATGATGGTAGGAGCTGGGGCATAGTCAGAGGTGAAGACCAGAGGGATAAAGAAGTGGCCTGACATCACTAAAAGGAAGGAGAGAAAGAGGAAAAGAAGGGTACATTTCTGTTCCCAAAGCTATCAAGATCTTCTTCATTTACCCTCATCCTCCCTTTGCCCAATTTGCTCCCATTCTCCTTAATCAGTACCAAGGAAAGGCCCACAAAACAATTGGTGTCCCCATGGACAATGTCAGGCATTAGAGAACAGCCAGAAGCTCTACCCATCTCTGTCCCTCTCCTGAAGGGGGCTGAGAGCCTCAGCATTTTGGCTGTTTGCAAGGTGTTCATCTCTGCCAGGACCATTTGTCTCAGAGTCACCTTATACTCTGTTGTTACTTATTTGCATTACTGTAGTGCCTGCAGCCCCCCGTCATGGGTTGGGAACCCATTATGCACAACACTAAACAAACACAGAGCAAAAACAAGGCTTCTGCCCCACAGAACTTACAATTTAAGTGTCAAGACCAACAGATGGAGCCAGACAGATGGCAAAGTCCAGGGTGCAATACATGTCAGCAAGACAGTTTGTGGTATATAAGCACACCAGCTGTCTGGCTGCTGTAGGTATCATGGTGAAAGAGTGTTTTAGGGAGGCACTAAAAGGATAATCCCACAGTTTCAAAAGGTGTACAGGGAGCTGTCACCAACATCAGATAGCAGGAGGGAAAGCATGAGGGAGCATTGTGTTTGATGATAACTAACCGGTGGGGGTGGAGGCTAGCCTTGTGGGATAACTGAGGAGGGAGTCCACCCCTCAGTGCTGAACAAGAGATGGCAGGTAGGGAGGGCAGGCCATGAGGGACCATGAAAGTGGAGACAAGTCATTCAAGCTGGACATGGCAGAGAAGAGGCTGCTCAGGGGGAATGCTCCAAAAAAACCAAAAAACCCAAAAACAAACAAACAAAAAAGGATTCAGTTCACGCAGCAGAGCCCACAGGGGAACTGCTGAGCATAGGAGAGGAGGAGGATGAACTTACTGCTTGGCAGGCCAACCCAGACACTCTTCTGACCTGAAAGGATGAGTCCCTTTTTACCAGTGACCTACAGAGGAAAAGAGAGAGCATAAGAGGAAGGCCAGGAGATACTTGAAATATAGCTCATTGTTTGAGAGCATCATGCAGGCAAGTTTTCATGGGAGAAGAACTCAGAGGAAACGGCACACAGAACTTTATACCTTCCAGGATACAAATTATAATCCCACCTCTAGGCAGGGAGAAAAGGTGGCTGTGGGAGATCAAGGGAGTGGGATATGCAGACTTTTATCTGTTCCGATCTATCTAGGGTCCCTAAGATGCAAGAGTACTGGTTATCCAGCAGCTGACTGATGATTTCTAGGCTGAACTGTGTAAGCAGCTGAGTTCTTAAGGGCACTGGTGCCCAGAGAAAACAAAGAGAAAACAAGGCTAGACAGCCACTATACTGGTCTTTTCAAGGCCTGGATGAACTTCCATCTATGTGACCAAACTTCCATCTTGCCTCCAAAATGTGGGTTTCTCAAATGCATCACTGAGGAACTTTGTCAGGCTCAGCACACACACGAGAGGTCAACTCTGCCACTGCCACAGCTGTCCCTGTTCTGTGTGATCCAGCACCTCCCCCATCATGCCCCTTCCCTCTACACCAGCACTCTCATAGAGACTCACATAGTAGGAAAAAGTCATATGTTTGGAGCCATGCATCAGGTCTCGCGGGTCAATTTTGTAGTCCACCTTAACCTGCTGCATTTTGCCACAAGGCAGAATCTCTGGCACACGTACAATCCTGAGGAAGCTCTCAGTGGTGGTGTAAAATGGCTGTATGAAATGGTAGGCATTCTGGTAAACCACACCGGCTGTCCCTGGAACGTACTCTGGATCCTGAGGCAGGAACCTTCCCTGCCGAGAGTGAAAAACAGTAAAACTCCTTAGGTGAGTAAATCAGCCCGAGTAAAAGACTTTGAAATTGGTGGTGACCTGCATCACAGAAAGTACTTGGATATCCTGGGCCAAATTCATCCCTCATGTGAATGCCAGGTATGGCAGCATATTGTCAAGTCAGGTTCATTCGCTACTGTAATTTACAGTAGATGGTACTACCTGTGACTGTTAATGCTGAGTGCCAGACACTCAGCATTAACAGTGTCATAACCAGTGTAAATAATCTGGCAACCTCTAGGGGGTATCAATGTCTTTGGGCAGAAGAGCACCTTAGAGGGGGTATTAGTCTTATACTTGGTGGAGGAAATTCTGCCAAAATGTTGTGGCACTGAGGTCCAGTCCATGATAGGGTAGACAGGACTCTTGAACCCTGATCAATAGCGAGTTTAGGAGTGGACCCCTGATAAACAGACAATGGATAATCTACTTGTTTTGGCAGCTCCTGCAGCTAAACTGGTTCCAAATGTACTGGCATCTGCCTTTCCTTTAAACTAAACCAGTAAGGCTGGTAGTGGGGGCACAGGTATGTGGGCAACCCAGTACCTCTATATACACTGCTCATGCTTTTATGCCTGGAGAGGTCACTCCAGCTTTGCAGAAAAGCAGACTGCATCACTGCATCAGGACTATCATTCATGAATTGGGCTCTACAGCCATGCTCACAGATGTTCAACAAGCTGATGCCTCGCTCAGTGCAAATCTGTTGTTTAGCGAAACATACAGATTCGTATGGATGCCTATGGTTTATATGGCAGGATGGGAAGCTCAAGTCAGATAGACAGTGTCAGCAGACTTTTGTGAGGTGCCCAGGACTAAAATAACTCCAGAGAATAGGCCTGATGTGCCTCAGAAATGCTGTTTGTGGGGAAGCCAAGAAGTCAGAATTATAGTTCTTCAGTACAGCTATGGCGAACCATCTGCAGAGCAATAAGCTTGTTCTGGAAAGCACATTGAGTCCCTCTTTCTCACAAATAAGGAAATCCATCTTCCTCACTTACCTCCAGTGAGACTGGATTATCACCCCAAGCATTTGTGTCCAGCTCAAAGTAAGCTCTCCCAGAGTCATCTGTGGTGAACATTGCCGTGAACTGTTTCCCTTTGTAGTTTACAATCAGGTAAACGTTTGTGCTGTTCATTAACCTGCCTTGGTGATCAACCATCTTAACCTAAGAACCCCATGGAGAATGGGAGGAAACAAAGCAGATTTGTCAGTAGATAGAACACTGCTCAGCCTAATCATCCTCAGAATCTCCAGATCAAAGAAATCAATGGCAGTCCCAACTCCCAGAACTTCTGAAAGAGCCATCATCTCCTATATCACCCTAGTTACTGTATTACAAGCAAGCACCATTAGCAAGATGATCACTCTCAACTCCTGAAAATAGCCTGGGTGCCTCATCTATACAATTGCATACATCAAAGTCTTTGACGGTTGACTGAGGTTTGACCCTGAACTCATGTTCCTCTTTGTTTTTACTGCTTATGGTGTCTTTTGTTAAATAACATTCTTCCACAGGGGTTTTTACCTGTAAGTCATAATTTGTGACTTTTTAACCCTAGTTTAACCAAGTATCTCCAGTATAGTCATTGAGATTGCAGTATCACTACTGTGATACTTTCCAGAGGTGTAGTTAAGGGTTACCTTCCCTGTGTAGACCTCTCCACTGTAGTAGTAAGGGTTTGCCTCCTCAAATGTGGCTCTCCCAGCTGTCCTGGAGATGAAGAAGTTGCCAGAGGCATTGACCTGCACTCCTGAGGGAACAGATTTAGAAAAAAAAGGTGTGAAAGGGGGAAGCAAACAGCTCCACAGATCAGTTCCACCCCTCAGCCAGCCCACTGGCAACACAATTATACATGTCAGGCTGCATACACCTTATACCCCTCCCAGGATTTTGGCATACCTAGCTTCCCATTCTAAGTCTTTCAGTGCCACAACCCACCATGAGATTGGACCACAGCACTTCTAGGGAATCAAGGAGCCTTAAAGGTGCAAGTGTGGGGGTTTAGAGCCTCCAGGGTCAAACCAGTGGAACTGAATTGTAGATCCCCTGTGAGTTTAGAGCAGGGGTGGGCAAAATGTGGCCCATGCCTGCCAGGCCATTCTATCTGACCCATGGGGCCCCTAAAAAATTTTAAAAATTAATATTTATGTGCCCCTGGCTGCCTGTCATGCAGCCCTCAGTGGCTTGCCAAAACTCATTACACAGCCCTCCACCTGAAATAATTGCCTGCCCTTGGTTTAGAGGTAGCCTAGCCCCTGCGCTTCTGTGAGCCTGTGTCTCAGTGCTTGTAAGAGAAGGACAGGTGGCCTATGGTGCTCCCAGTATGCCTGGATATGCCTTGAAGTGCTTTTTGTATGTTCTCGAAGACACCACTGGAGTTACCTGTGTCAATCTCCTTTAATGTGACCATTGCATCAATGCTGTCCCTGAAGTTGGAAGAGACTTGGAGAAAGTCACCCAGATTGACAGATGTAGAGAAGCAGCCCATCTTATCTGTCTGAAAAAAAAGAGAGAGCAAAGTCCAGATGAGACCCCAGCACAATAGGAGAGTGGCCAGCAGGAGGTAAAAATGTCCTGGAACAGAACAGAACCTCTTTTTGCTGGAGCTCACCACTCCACATCAGAGGGCACCTTAAGAGCTAATGATCTGAGTGTCACTCAGACAATATTGCCCTGTCTGCATGGTGATGTGCTTCTGTCTCCTGCCTGCACCATGGCACAGCACAACATGGTGCCAGGAGGAGCTGGATCTCAGCATCAGAGGCAGAGATGGTGATTCCTGTGGCAAAAGAGGAGTGGAGGGCAAAGAGCCTTCTTTACCTCCTTCGTCCTTTCTGTGTGCATGTGCATGTGTATATGTCTATGAGTTCATATCTATATGTGTGTATATATGTGTATGTACACATGTGTATATGCATGTGTGTCTTTACAAAGCCTATTAAACATTTTTTTTAATGTTTCTCTGCTGCTGGGTGAAAGAGCCTCTGGAACAAGAGGAAGACTGGTCCACCAGGCAAACACAAATCCCAGTTAGATGCACAGAGGGAAAAGCTAAAAGGACACAACCAACTATTTGTTTCCTTTAGTCCCTCCCAGCTCTAATCACCTTGGGGTGTCACTTTCCAAACAGCAGATAAAATTTTTCAGACAGAGCTTTTTTAAAAAAAATGACAATCTTCCCTCAAGAGGAGCAGCCCAGTTGAGAAAATGAGCTGCCAAACAAAAACAAATGGGCCCAGAATCCCTAGAGGCAGAGAGAGAGAGGACCAGATGGATAAGAGAGATGGGAATGCTTAATCAGAGAACAGGGAAAGCCAGGAAAAAAAACATACCTAACAGAAAAAAACCAAGGACAAAACTAAAGTGAAAGAGGGAAAGGAGCACCTGCAAGGGGAAGGATGGGAGCTCCTAAGGCAGGGGCAGGCAATTATTTTGGGCAAAGGGCCACTTACTGAGTTTTGGCAAGCCATCAAGGGCTGCATGACAGGCAGCCCAGGGCAGATAAATATTAATTTTCTAAATGTTTTAGGGGCCCCCGCGAGCTGGATAGAATGGCCTGGTGGGCCACATCCGGCCCCCAGGCTACATTTTGCCCACCCCTGTCCTAAGGGGAAAGCGCAGTGGTAGGTTAGCTGAGAGCCAGAGGTGCCTGAGCCAAGTGCATGCTCTAAGCAGGCCAGGAGGGTTCCCACTAGCTACCTTGGAGCTAGCACCATCACTACAAGGTTGGAGCACATTTTGTATGCCCCTAATCATACAGCAGACTTCACAGAGTCCATGGCACTTCTCTTCACAGCTCAACCCTGAGAGTATGGTAGGCTTGTTTGGGGAGGTTGCTTGGGCAGAAGAGGCATTGATGTTAGGTACTTGGTCTTTCCCCGTTAAATGGCTTTTGGGGCTTTCTGGTGTTAAAATAAGCCAGAGTCTATTCCACCTATTGGGCACCTAACTGTGATTCTATTCTATTCTATCCTGTTTGACTCCCTGAAAATACATTGATCCATCTATTTTTGTAACATGCCATCATCTTAGCCTTAAGATTATGTATCAAAAAGGGGGTGAGGGGGAGGCAGACCCATCCACCTTTGCATTAACGGGTTTTCAGGGACTCAAGCGGGGAGAATCGGATGGCACTTAGGCCCTGAATTCACTTACGTTCTTCCCGTATAATCTGGCTCAATGTGCACAGTTGAACTCGAAACAATTCAAGGGGGAAACGTAATGGAAAACAAGGAAGGGTCAAACTTGGAAAAGAAAGGAGAACTGGAAAGGGATAGAACACAAGAAAGGGAACTATCCAAGTTTACCAACAGTAAGCAAAAGCAGATGTTAGCTGCGGGTGAGTAACAAACTCAGGGATTAAACATGGAGAGAAACCAACTGAAAATAAAACACCTACAGTTGCTTCCCTTTCCCCTTGGCCCAAATAGTGTGGCTTCTTTGCTCTGTTGTGTAGGACTGTGGCTCCTGTCTTGCTAAGGGACTCTCACCTGGCTGAGGTAGCTCTTACAGAGGTCTGATTTATCCGGGCTGGGCAGGGACCAACGCTTCCGGCACAAGGTTACCTCCATCCCCCCTTGCACACCTTTCCCATAGGTGTATCTGCATGAGAGAGTAGGAGTGGCAGATAGTTACAAAATGGAGGAACTGCTCCTGTGCACTGACAGATTGAATTCACTGTGTGGATGGATACATGCAATGTATAAGGCATATCAAGAGAATGGCATTCCCCCCCACCCCTCCATCCATGAATGTATTATTTGGCTTCTGGCTTTTGTTTTTAGCTTTCTCTAGCATTAGACATTGGCAACAGCTAGAAGTAGAAACTGGTCTGGCATGAACTGGGACAATCTCTTAGTACTCAGAAACCTCTTGGGTGCTTGACTGGACAGTCTTGCTCATGTGCTCATGTTTGAACTGACTTCCAGATCTGGGGTCAAGAAAAATTTTTTCTCCAGGTCATAATGGCAATAACCATTGGGAAGGGGAGGCTGTGCTCTCTTGCAGCGCAAGGCACAGTCCACTTCCTAGTCTGAGTGCCTTTTAACCTTACAAATCCTCTGCCATGTTGTGTCAAGGCACTAGTGGTGCCCTTGTTTCCCCTGGTTTTTGCCTGTGACACAATGTCCAGTTTTTTAGGGTTTTTTCCATCATACGTTATTTTGTGGTTGTGATGTGTAAAGGAGGTTGGGACAGACAATCCCTTTGGACAAATGGTTACCTACAAATACTGGGGACTGGACTGCGTGGCCTCAGGACCCTCTTCCTATCCCATGTTCCCACATCTGTATGTTTCCTGGAGGTTTCCCTAAGAGATACAGGGGCCTTTCCTCATCACTGGCTAGAGTGCAGTAGTGTGTCCCTCCCACCAAGGAAGCCTCCTCACCTGCCGCACACCTGTAGCGGGAAAGTTTTATCCAAAACGTAAATATGAATTGGCTTCTCAAAAATCACTTCAAATTTTGGCAGCACTGGAAGGGAAACCCAGAGAGACAAGAGGGAATAATTACATCTTGCTGAGGATAGAGGTGGAGACAAACCCTGGCAGAGTAGGGGTAGGAAGTCCCATTTTCTTCTTTTAAAAGGGAAGACAGTTTGTTTCCTGGGTGTTTACCCCAGTGATGATGTCTATGCTCAGCCTGCCATTCTCTGATGGCTCAGAATTAACTTGTAGAATTCCCTGACCTCTCAGTTGTTTGTGATGAGTGATGATGGAAAGAGGCTACCCACAGCAAACAAAGTATTACTCTTACATGGCTCTGGAAAGACTGAAGAACAAAAGTCCAGCCCTGGACACATTCTACAAACAAAGCCAGAGAGGGTGAAAGTAGAGTTTACAAATTCCTCTAGAAATAAGCACTGAGAATGGAATTTTAAAGAGGATTTAAGTGATGCAGAAGCTTGTGCTCCATTGAAAGCCAGTGAGATGCTTTCTTCTGCATCACTTAAGCTCTTTAGAAACTCCCACCTTCATGCCCTTATAGCCAGATTTCAGGGGTCAGCAGATTGTAGTGCTGGTGTTGCTCCATTAGAGCCACTGCACTGTACTCAACCAACCAGGGAGCCAGACAATCACCTCCTTAAACAATATCCATTATGAATTTGACTCCTTTCCCTGTCCAAAGTGACAGAGCTTCCCTCCACAGATGTGATTCTCCATCTACCATCAGTTTCTTGTACTGAAATGGGATTCCTCTTCCCAGATATGATTTCCCATGCCTCATATCTGCCCCACATATTTCCAATTTATACCATATTCCTCTACGGAGAAGCTGCTGTATGCTTTCCCATTGGCTACGTTGATGACATACATCCCCAGGGGAGGCTCAGCAGCTAGCTGGAAAGATAAATCTGCAATGCCATCCTGAGCTACCACGTCCAGCCACTGGCCAATCCGGTTGTTGTTAGGGTCCTACACCCACAAGAGAGAGGAAGAGCCAGTTATTACAGTCTCTTAAATAATCCAAACCTCATAATATGCAGCTGTTTCAAGATTAATGCTATTACCCATTGGGTTCTAAACGGGTCTCTGAGGGTGTGTGTAGATGAAACAGGGTCCCTAAATTGAAGTGGTGGGTTTTTAAAAACAGCGCTTTTTTACCTCAGGCAGGTAGGCAGGCAGGGGGGGCCGGATCAGGCTCGCAGCTTTTCTTGGGTGGAGCCTGATTTCCTGGGCTGCTGCCAGGCTGCCTGCAGGGTTTCCTGCAGAGCCCCTGAGCTGCACGGAGCCCAGTGCTTTGCTCTGCGGCTGTAGGGGGAGCAAACTAAAACTCCTTGGAGGAGTTTTAGTTTCCTGCACCCCAAGTCATCTAAGGTGTGTTATGCTGCCAAATTTGCTACAGCAGCTGTAATTAATGCGCAGTACACCACCGAGACGTGCAAACACTGACACCATTAAAGAGGTGCAAAAGCATTTAGCCTGCTTTAAAGGGTTGAGCAGAGATGCCCCTTGTTTCATCTGCACACAGCCTCTCTATATGACCTATATATAGACATTTTAGATTCTTCTGCCAATGATACTCTTATCCAGGGGAAAGAGGTCTTAAAAGTTCTAATTGTTAATTTATTTAGTCATTAGTTTTATATAGTGCCCTTCCCAAAAAGACTGAGAGTGGCTTACAATAAAAGAGAAAAAGACTTGAACAAATAAAATAAAATATTAAATAAGAAGATGCCTCCTGTTCAGGGAAAAAGCCAAATTCAGAGGGTTTTGAAAAGAAAAAAGCCAAATTCAGACACTTCATCCCACCTGCTCCCACTTCTCTGACTGATGGAGGAGAGCATTCCCTCCTGCCCAACCCAACCTCCCTTTCCACTCATGTTCTCTAAAAATAGTTTCCCCCAACCTGTATTCCCTAACATTCCTACCTACTTCCACCCTGCCACCTTACACACAGAGGAGTCACCCACCCTCTTACTGTCCCTTCCAAGACAAACACCCCTGTCCCAAAAAGAGGCCACAGACAACTCATTCATTGCCTTCTTCCCTGCAGGGAAAATACAGTCTTCAATCAAGACACAAAACAGAAACAAAAATAGACCCCTTCATCCCAC